TAATAGAAAATTTTAATGAAATCGAAACATTAGCAACGATATAACGGTTTTTAATTCTCTACTATTGTATTAAACAGCTGTAGAGTTAATCTCAAAAAATGGCTTCTATTCTGAACTCAATTTAAGGTTGTGGTATAATAAGATTATAGATTATATTACAGATTTTAATTTACTGATAAAAGGATCAAATAAGTTAATAATTTAGTTTTTAAATGTTAGGAAATATATGCTACGCATATTTTAGCATGACAATACACATCATGACTCATTCGAAAGTATTTTCTTAGGAATATGACAAATTGAATTCGGGAACAAATTCGTTTTAGATAAATATGAAAAAGGGGATATGAAAAGAGAATTATATAAAAAGAATATATTCATCTAAACATGACATGATGCTCTCCTATGTAACAATCAATTTGGAATTTGTTAGTTCACACAAGTGTGCACTAATTGTATGTTATGAATGTTTAATTACATATAAAATTCAAGAAATTTAATTTAAAATTCTCAATTTTTTTCACATTTTATTTTCTCTTTTTGCCTATAAATTTCAATATTTTTCACGAATTTCCTCCACATAATTAAAAATTGAATCAAATTCTGCGATTGTAACTTTATTTTATTTTAAAATTATTTTATAGTAGGGTTGAAGTTTCAATTTAATTTTCATAGCTTTTTCTTCAATCAAAATTTTCCTAATTTATTTAATTTAGTTCCATGCATGTTGTTCCCCGCACTTTCAGAATCATTTGAAAAAGTGAAGCAATCGCATATTGAAGCTCAGATTCGTAGATTCGTAAATCAATATTTATGTCAGAAAGAAACAGAAATTTATCAAAATTTGAAAAATTAGCACTAATTATTTCAAATTACGAAGAAAAACATAGTTACAGGCAATGTGTTCCACAACCATTGCCCTTTTAGAATCCTTGAAGAAATTGTAATAAAGAAATCGTACATTCCATAGCTTATATTCCTAACTCAATATTTAAGTGAAAAAGAAACAGAAATTTATCGACATTGGAAAAATTAGTAGTATTTCATTTCACCAAAAAGGATAAGAACAATTTGATTGCGTGGTAATACTTGGAAGAGTACATAACAATCACAACAATTGATAAAACATAGTTACATAGGGTGTTCCATAACTCTCGCTTTTTTAGAATCCTTGTTAAAAGTGATGTGAAGAAGTCGTACTGTGTAGCTTAAATTAGTAAATTCGTAAATGAATATTTATGTGAGATAGAAACAGAAATTTATCGACGTTTGAAAAATTTCTAGTATTAAAAGGATAAGAACAGTTTGATTGCCTGGTGATAGTTGGAAAAGTTCATAATAATCGCAACAATTGATTAAGAAATCCCCCCCCCCCAAATGAGGATATGCGGGAAAATCGGGTCGACTCGTCGCAGCGACAGCACTCCCCCTCAGGAGAAGAGGGGTGATTCAGAGCACGGCGCATGAGCCGGCCAAGAGGCCCGGCGAAGCCCCTCCATGGCATTTATTAAAATCAAAATAAATTTACAATAAAAGAGGATGGCAACAGGCCGAGATTCAAAACAAATACAAAGTGAATGTTAAAACATTGTAAAACCAGGTCAATAAACCCTTATAAATAACAAACAAAAAAATGAACAAGAACGTAAAATCTCATCATGTGCAATTGGCAGATTTGAGAGAACCGAGCTGAGGCTGGCAGACAACAAGTAGTTAAAAAATGAAAAAAAGCAAAATACGAAAGGTGCATTAAAATCATGATAAAAACCATCATAAAGTTTAAAAGTACACAAGACAGGGTAAAATCTGAAAAAGCGTTTAAAATATTGAATTAAAAGACATCAAAATATCAGAAAACATTTTAAAAGCTCAAAATTTATAAGAATAACAGTGACATCTGGGACAAAATATCCCTGAATCACACAGTAAAATGTCTAAAAATTTAAAATGAGGTGTATAAATATAAAACGTCAAGATGTAAGAAGTTGGGGATAAAACATAATAAGGAGTAAATAGCATGAAATCAGCAAATCCGATGAATAAAATTACATAAATTAACATTTATTTACATTCAATAAAAATGCAAAAGTGCAAATTCAATGTTAAAAGGTAAAAGGAGCAAAAAGGTTTAAATGTTTAAAAGGTTTGTGGGTCAATGGGGAAATTTGGCAAAGCGCTCACTATTCAAGAAAAGCTAAGTTGGTCGTTATTATTTTGAGCCAGCAGTTCCTCGAGAGTTATTTTTATAATCTGTTTGATAATGTTTTTGCAATTATTGCTGGAAAAAATATGGTGTTCAGTTTTCCCGAGCAAGTGATTTTGCCGGAGCGTCCGGAACCGACTGCAGTGATAGAAAAGATGCTCGATGGTTTGAAGTTCATTGCAGTTGTTACATTGGTCAGGCTTGTTTAAGAATTTATTCTGGTAGGTCCCGAACACTCCATGCCCCGTCAAATATTGACTTAAATAGAAGTCTGCTTGTAGTCTGGACTTATACAGGGTCTTAATAAATTTGCATGTTTGCCAGTCCTTTTCGCTGTTTTCCCAGTTTGTTTTTCACTTTGCCATAATAAAATTTCTGATTTCCGTCTTTGCCTGCTTTGGGGTTCTCAGAACCTGGAGATCTATTATGTCTGAGCCAATGGCTTATTTTGCTGCCCTATCAGCCTCCTCATTTCCCTGGATTCCCACATGTGCCGTAACCTAGTTCAGTTTTATATTTTCAGTCCAGTTCATTTTTGTTTCTTCGATGATTTTTTAACAGGTTTCCGGGTCTGCCAGGGCTTGGAGGGAGGACAGCAAATCAGGGAAAATTGTGGCGAGATCGATTTTATTTAGTTTTATCCATTTAAAAGGTGATCTGATGACCATTAGCTCTGCTGTAAAGATGTTTGTATTGTCCATGACTCAGGCGGAGGCCTAATGAATAGTAGTGCAGTTCATTTTCACAATTATGGCGTAGGCAGTTTTGAAGATTTTTCGTTTTTCGACCTCTACCCAAGAGCCATAGGTGTAAATCTCCATGCCCTGATCTATTGGGCTATTATATCCCCAAGGCAATGCCCGATACGTTGAGGGGTGAACTAGGGATGGAGTATCATAATTTATGTTGCAATCAAAGTCGGGTGTTAATACTTGGTTGAAGTCATCAGTTCTCCAGCCTCATTTGGTTCTCTTGGTGAAGATGTCTTCAAGGATTTTAAGTTGTATCGGGATAACTCCCGCCAGTATCTGGATAGCCTCTGTGCTGGTGGTAGAATGCGTTTTGGTTAAAGTCAGTAGAGGAATTGGTTGAAGGCCATTTTTTTGTAGTTAATTCTCGTGTTGTTCCTATACCAGACACTGGCGGCGTAGAGGATAATTCTTTCACTTGACTGGAGATAGATTCTTTTAAGTAACTGTGGTCTGAGGCCCCACGTAACTCTGGCTACTCTCCTGATTCCTTGATTAAATTTTGTTAACCTGTCCCTAACACATCAATAAGGTGGGGTATCCATGTCAGTCCTGGGTCGAGTATGACTAACAGGTATTTTAAGGTTTTGACATTCTTAATGTTAGAGGTATCGGTTGTTTTGAGTTTAATACATGCAACAATTGATTAAATATTGTTACATGCAACGTGTTCAATTACCCTCGCCTTTTTTGAATCTGTGTGAAGTGAAATATGGAAATCGTACATAGTAGCTCGTAGTTCGTTCGTAGATTCGTAATTCAATATTTATGGTAGAAAGACTTATTTTTCAAATTTGTCAAATTAATTAGAAATTTATTAAATTTATTAGAAAATTATTAAAATTAGAAATTTTTTTGAAGTGTATTGTAATACATTGATTGAATTATATTTCAATTCACAAAAAAGTGGAAAAAAACAACTGATTGGTTAGCGATACTTGGAAGAATGCATAATACTCACCTGACAATTTCTCTCAATTTCTTCAGACAATGAAGCTGGTTTCGGCTCCATCAGTAGCTATTCATCTGATTTCGATAGCTTTTCCGTTTTTCCATAGGTACTAAAGTGCGACACCGAAAGTATTTGCTTCTTTAACTTCCTATTTGAAGAGAATTATAAAAGTATCTATTAAGTTTGGTGAGTACAGTACACCTTGTTTATTAATTTTTTTTAAAGTTATGGATTAAATAATACCACAGTACATCTATATTTCGTACCCTAGCGATCGAATCTTACTTTATTTAGATATTTTTACAAATTTGATCGGGAAATTAACTTTGAATACAACTCTGTGCATTGAGTTTAATAAGACTTATCGTGTGAATTATTTAGTAGGGAATTAATAATCATTTAGTAACGAAAAATTTCTAATTTGGTAAAGTTTGAATAATTATTTAGTTACAAGTGAATAATTATTTACTAACGAGTAGAAAACCTTTATCTCTGACACTCATGCATTGAATAAACTACATTTTTAAAGTTAAATTTTTGATAATAATTGTCAGATTTATTATTATAGTCGTTTATACAAAGTCATTTTATGAATGCATTGTGAGCAAGAAAAGGGTAGCATCTTTACTTTTATCGATGCAATGATCGAAATTTCAAATGCAAAATGTAATTAAATTTTTTAAGCACATTTTAAAAATTGCTATTTAATCCGTATGCCTATTAATTCTGACACGAAATCCGTCTCAAAGACATAATTATTTGTGATTAAGAGGATTTGGTTTTTGAAATCTAAAATATCTGAGGTAACTACAATTTTAGAAACTATAGTCACAAATATAAAGTAAAAATTTTACATTGATTAATTTTTATGAAGGTCAAATTATTAGAAAAAGGATTTAGATATGAATAAACAAAATTGTTTCGTCTTTTATCTCAGATACATTATTGATGAAACGAAGAGAAAGTAGTTATGATTTATCTATTTATGATTTATAGCAGTATTAAGCCCCAAGTTGATTAGATTCATGCTATGTGGCTTTTTTCTATCTGTTGATCTTGCACAAAATAATAGATACTAATTTCTGTGTATAAGTGTGTTTGAACACATTTAATAAATCGTGAATATTATATTGCCAATACGTGTATTTCTGTCTGCCCTTTAGTATATATAGTGAGATACTTTTAAATTTCCTTTACAAAGAAATTTGAAGATTCAAATATACCTGAAAGGTAAGTTAGCTACTTTACTTAAAATTGTTGTCATTGTATACTAAATATTATTGTTTTTTTCCCCTCGTCTCTTCAAATTAATGGATGTCAGACCAGAAGAAAATTGATGGAAATTATTAATTTCAAATTTATAGTCTGCCTGCCTCTGATTTTTTTAAACCCTTTTAAGTCCATAAGCATTTAAAAATATTTACATTTCTTAATTTTAAGCAAATTCTTTCGTATCTTTTCGGAAAATACCTCCTAAGATAAGTTATTATATTGATGAGTTATTATACTAAAATGAGTTATTTATATTTAGTTTTCCATAGTTTGGATTGTGGTCTGTTAACTTCGATTCTTTTTTTTTTCGAATGGCAGGCACTGAACTTTATTCGTTTCGCCTTAGAAGATGCCAGAGTTGTTACTCATTTCGCGTTACCCAGCGGTCACCTGTGAATCAAAGTCACGGAGGCGAGTAACATTGCCCACGCCACACTGCCACAAACCCGTTCACATGGTGGGCCACATTCACACATCACACACAGCAGAGGACAACACAAGAGAGAGAAACATCCATGCCCAGAGCGGGATTCGAACCCGCGGCCATTGGCTTCGCAGTTAGGCACGTTAACCGCTCGGCCACCTGGCCGGCGACTTCGATTCTGAATTATTGTGAATAATAAATTTACAGAAAAATTTACCTAATGCTATATTATTGTGAGATTTTTTTTCAACTCGTATTTTTTTTCAAGGGTTTCCAATAAAAATTTTAATATTTTTTAAATTTATATATATATATATATATATAATATATATATA